GTACATCAAATATAGAAGCTTGTTCCAACCTTTGGTAGAAGTAATGGCTATAAGTAGTAAGATGGCAAGAAAAACCTGAAATGAGGAAGTTGAGACAAGGATCTGAATACGTTGGATGTTTCGTAGTTGATTCTTACTAATATTGTGAAGAATCATCCACATATGATATAGCAATGTGGATGGAGATAGGAGATAGTGGCCAACCTAATTTCCAAGCCTGACCATATAGCTATTGAAATTAGCCATTGTTGATCTCCACAATCCTTCTATATTGCAAACATGACTAGCCTAAGCTCCAAGCTCAATTCGCAATAATCCAAATTTGACCTTGACTTTACTTGTAATAAGAAATAGTCCATCAACTTATACATCTTTGATTTATTTGAGCCCAACCCAATGGAAATGTGAGGTCTTGAGTCTCAAGAAATTGAGCCCTTTGAGTGGAACAACATGTAACTACCAAAGCAATTCATTACTAAATTTTTTTGGCAAACAAGGGGAGACAGTCTCTAAGTTGATTACCATAGTCCACCATGCTATATCCATATGGTTCCAAACCTTTGAATCTTACTTCACTTAATATTTTGGTTATTTGAAGTATCCAAATCAAGGATATTATTGCTGATGGCTATATGGTTGGTATTAGATGAGTCTATATTAGAGTATAGTATAGAGATTCAAAGTCCTTGGTTTGCAAGCCTTAAAGATCCATTTGATCATGAAGGCAACTAAGGCATCTTGAAAATTCACCATATTAATACTTCCAATGACTTTTGATTGGCAATATTATATCTACAAAAAATTTAATTTTGTCCTATTAGAGAATGTCAGATCATATATATTTTTGAATCTTTGATTGAACCTAATTGATATTTTCCTTTGCAAATATGTCAGATCAAATCAAAACAAAAAGATTCAAAGAATATATATGATTGAACCTAATTGATATTTTCCTTTGACGCCATATGATATTGATGAATTCTTGTAAGAAAGAGTTAATCAAAATATGCAATACTAGAGCACACCTTAAATGAATGTCATAGAAAGACACATGATAGCAAACAAAGTTTTATTATTATCCATATTCTTTTTTATATCAAATATGTATAATAATTCAGAAATTGATTTTTCTTCTCTAAGAAAGATAAAAAAAAAAAGTGTCATCAACATATTATGCTAGACCTTGTTGTTTTTCTTCTATTAAGAGACAATAATC